TCCCCGCTCCCTGGTTTCTGTGAGCCGCCCTGAGTCCCCTCAGGGAAAAGGGCGGCCTACAAATAAAATCAATTCAATTCAATCAAAATTCAGACCCTTGGCAAGTGGCTCATATTTATGAGGGTTACAGTGTCCTGGGGTCACATGATCACTTTTGTCATCTTCTGATAAGCAGATGTATACATATACACGGCAAAAGAAATTAAGAATCCTGTGAATTTACAAGACAGACGGCATAAGGAACAAAGCTATGGCAAAAAAATGATCAAAAAATGCCAAACTCATTTAAAAACGGTCTCGTTTACTAATAGAAATGTTGTGCTCAATTTTGTGGTCGTTAAATTAAGGACTTACCTGTAAGTAGACCAGGGAGCTTAGTTCAAAGCACTAAAAGTTTATTGCATGATATCTATACAGATGGCATATTTTATAGCCTGTCTGGCAACTTTCATTCTGTTTTGAATCTTTAAAAAAAAAGCAAGCAATTAAAAAAATTTAACCAAACTAATCAGCATGAATGTGGTAGATCAAAGGGAAGTCCTTGCAACATATAAATGTGTATATATTTTTTTGAAATGAAAGGAACAAAACTACTTCTTATATTTTTACCAATGGTACTTTCCATGGGGTGATTCCTAACCAAATGAAGATACTGTCTCAGCCTATCAAGGCAGACCAGATCAGGAAACCAAAACTCTAGGAGTTGTAAAAAGTACTTTCATTATTTATTTACTTCCATTCATTGCTAAAAGGACAACTGCCATACAGGAATAGCTCAAAGTAAAGCAGACTTGAGGGTTATCTATAGATGTCAACCAATACCCTTGAAATCTGACAACTTCAGCTACCCATCACATCTTCCTCGTCAATTATTCAAAAGAGAATTCAAGTCCCTTAGACATCCGAGATGGCTTTGGGGAGTTGCAAAGACATTGACAATTTTTTTGCAGAGTAATTCCCAGACTTTAGAGCAGTGTTTCTCAACCTTGGCAACTTGAAGATGTCCAGACTTCAACTCCCAGAATTCCCCAGCCAGCATTCGAAGTCCAGACATCTTCAAGTTGCCAAGGTTGAGAAACATTGCTTTAGAGGGTGTTTGAAGGATGCACGGAAAAAGTCAGGAGCACTGAAATCCAGGCAAAAGCTGAACACTTGAGCTGAAGGCTTCAGCAACCAGCATGCTAGTCACTAGCACTGATGGTGTTACCTAGTTTGGTAATGAAACGTCTGAAAGAAAACCACCAAGCTCAGAGACCACCACAGACTTCACAGTCCTCCTCCTTCTCCTCCTTCTCCTTTTTCTTTTTCTTCTTCCTCTATCTCCTTCTCCTATTCCCCCTCTATACAAACCTCACTTCTAGCACTGATGATGTTACCTAGTTTGGTAATGAAATATCTGCAAGGAAACCACCAAGCTCATAGAGCACCACAGACTTCACAGTTCCCCCTCTCCTCCTCTTCCTTCTCCTTTTTCTTTTTCTTCTTCCTCCACTTCCTCCTCCTATTCCCCCTCTATACAAACCTCACTTCTAGCACTGATGATGTTACCTAGTTTGGTAATGAAATGTCTGCAAGAAAACAACCAAGCTCAGAGAGCACCACAGACTTCACAGTCCTCCTCCTCCTCCTCCTCTTCTTCTTACTCCTCCTTTTCCTCCTCCTCCTCCTCCACAAACACCCCACTACCATACTAAACATGGTAACAGCAAAGGGTCCATGAGAAATACATCACCATGTGTTATCCATCTACAGTATTTTTAATTTATAATAAAATTCAACATCTGGAACAAACCACTACTCTTTTAATATAGCTATAATCTTCTGTATACTTCCACCATTGAGGGCTTTTAATAAACTAATTAAACAATGGAAAACAAAAATCAAGTAGCACAAAACCTTTATGCAACTAGCAGCCAAGCAACAACTTTATTTACTGATTTACTTATCAAATTTATACAGCCGCTCGTCTCACTAGAGAGGACTGTAGCATTGGGGGAAGAAAAGCAAGCAGCCCAATCTCTGAAAATGATGTTAAGCTTCCATAGCTTTTAAACCTTGTATCCTTTTATTCCTCAGACAAGGAATTTTATCCCTGAAGATCCCTAACACAACGTAAAGCATAATCTGACAACTTTATTACACAGGGGGAAAAATTGGCTTAAATAACAATTCTGACATTTCCTGCAAGGTGTAAATGAGGAATGCTGCATTTTGAGGTTAGGCAGCTCTGGACAGAATTCACATCAAATTATTACTGCATGCCTAGAACTCACCTTCATGTTGTCCGCTTGTGAGGATATCTCCAAATCTCTCACAGCAAACAGAGTGTTAGTTCCATTTGGAACCCACACAATCTACTCTTTCAAACGGAAGCTCGGATTATTAATTTGACAAAGCCTATATGCGTGTCTCTCCTGAGCTGTCTTAGCATCCTGACACTCAAAAGGACCCTCCTTTGTCTGAAGGAGAGAGGGGGTTTTCCCTTTGGTGGTAACAAGCCCATATAACATCCCTTAGGAGTGATATGCGAACATCAGCAGTGTTAGATGCAAGTAGGACAACCCGTTTTAGAGTGATTTCTTAATAGTATTTTTTTTAATTTATCTCCAATGTTAAATACATTTTTTATTTATCTCCAAAGCTGACAAAGCGAAGAGAGCCCGTGGCTTAGAGGTTAATAAGGTAAAGGTTCCCCCGCACATGCATGCTAGTCGTTCCTGACTCTAGGGGGCAGTTTGTTTGTTTATTAGTTTGTTCATTAGTTTTGTATGCCGCCCACTCCTGAAGGACTCCGAGAGTTGCTCATCTCTGTTTC